AAATTTTTCTAAAGCCTTCAGATGAATCAATGAATTATTAATTTGAGATTTCTCCACATTTTTTATATATAGGCATATAGTGAGTTGAGTTTTATTCTTGAAATTGCCTTATGTTTTTTTCATTTTATTCACTTCTGGGAATCCATAAATGCTTAATTTTCATTCTTGTTTTTTTCTTTCCATGAATTTGATTCAGTAGTGTGTTGTTTAGATTCCATGAATTCATGTTCTTTTTTTGTTGATGTGGAATTTTAATACATAGTTGCCAGATTAAATGCAAACTGTAATTTCAATTTTCCTATATTTGCTGAGACTTGCTTTGGTTCTTTAGGTTATGAGTACTAGTCTAGACCCTTGTGTTTTTTATAGTCACTATTAAAAATTCTGCTGTTATTATGATGAGTCTGCCTTTGTATATGACATAATTTTTCTGGTTGTTTTTTAATATCATTTTGTTGCTGCTGTTGTTGTTGTTCTGAGCATGTAGCATTTTGATATGATGAAAGGTATAAATGTAGGCTTTTCTGTCTGGTCCTGCAGTCAATTTTAAATTAACCACTCAGGGGCCCAATATTAATTACAAATTGATGTATTGCTTAGATATATTACTAACTAGCTCTTACAACTTAAATTAACCCATTTCTATTCATCTATATTTTGCCACCTAACTTCCAGGCATTACCTGCTGTCTAGTACATCTTGTTGTTCCAATAGCTTGCTGGCATCTCCCCCTGAAATCTGCCCTTCTTCTCCCTGTATCTCTGCTTGGATGTCCAGACTGGCACTATCCTGCCTTTCTATAGACCAAATTATCTTCTTTATTAACGAATGGTAATAAAACATATTTACAATTTACAAATGGGTTATCTCATAGTAGAGGTCAGTTTTTTTTTCTAGTCATATCTGCTTGGTGTCTATATTTCTGTCAGATCTTCATAGGCACCTCTTACTTCAGGCTAAGAAAGTTTTTTTCCCCTATGATTTTGTTTCAAAAATCTTTTGCACCTTTGAACTGTGCCTCCCCTTCTGTACCTAGTTTTTATATGTTTGGTCTTTGTCATATGTCCGAGTTCCTACTTGTTTGGCTTTTGGGATTATTTGGATTAGATATTTTCTTTCACTAAATGATCTGACTCTTCTACCTTGCCTTCAGGACCTGACATTTTCTCTTCCACATGATCCAATCTATTGATGATATGATATTGTTTACTGATTTTTTTGTTTAAATTTTTAATTTTTCATTTTAAACATGATTTCATTTTAGCTTTTCTTCAGAGGTTCTATGTATTAAGTTCTGTTTTCATTTCTTGACTTTTTGTAACTTCATTCAACCATGTTTTGTGCTGTTCATTCTGGCATTTACATATACCCTCTCAGAGTTTTTTGGTTATTTTCAGTATTGCTATTTTGAGATCATTGTCTTGTACATCAGTTGAGTTGCTTTTCCTAGAGGACGTTATTCTGGAAATGCTAATTTTTCATGGGGACTTGGTACTTTGGTTATTTATGCTTGCCCATTTGTAGGGACCTATGTAGCCACAGTCAGGTGGTGAGTACTGTTTACTCATATGGAAATCTTGTCTCTAATCTTGTTGAGCAGGTGTTTGAAACTTCTGTTAATATATTTCAATTTGTAAGGTGGTAGGGCAGCTGCATGGCACTTAGGATTCAGTCCTTGGGCAATTCAGTGTTGATATTTGAATTAGGTATCAAAAGATGCCCTGCCTTGGCTCAAGCGAGGTGAGGATTGTCAGCTCAGGAACTGACCTTCTGCAATGTTAGAACTGCAGCTCTATATAGAAGGGAGGTCATGTCACACTTTCCTTTATGTTCTTAGTGCTTGGCCTTACCCCTATCAGTGGGTTGTATAAATAAGCAAGCTAAGCCAACCATGAGGGGCAGGCCAGTGGTCAGTGTCCTTCTGCAGGTCTGCAACAGTTTCTGTATCCAGGTTCCTTCCCTAGTTTTGCTCAGTGATGGAATGTGATGAGAAAGAATAAACTAATCATCTTTTTTCTACTCAAGTTGCTTTTGATCAGTGTTTTGTCATAGCAGCACAGACACCAACTAGGACAATGGGGTCCTGAGTATTATCTCTACCCATTTTATTATCAAAGGCAGAGGGTCCAAGAGCAGTGGGGCAGAGAAAAACTGGGGTGAGAAATTTTCATGATTTTTTTTTTAAACCTTTATATGCTCAACTGGTGCGAAGAATCAAGTTCTCATAACAGGTCTTCGATATCAGTCACTGGAGATTCTTCTATGGTATGGTAACAACTAGCTCAAAGGACATTTTACTTTTGTATTCAGTTAGGTACTAATTTCTGTCTTCTAAATAGACCCTTTATTTTAAATGTTGGGAGGGAGAAACAAATCCCTTAAGTGACATTGCCATCGATGTAGCTCTTTTCTTCCACACTGGACACCTTCCTGTGGACATTCTGACCACTAGTCATGGCATCTCAGATGGCTTTGGATTCCTGTACAATGTTATGACTCCTACACATATTTCTGCTATAAATAGTGCGAGTATTTCCTGCCTGAGTTCTTGCCTCTGAACTTTCTTTTTTTTTTTCAAAAAAAAAATCTATTTATTTATTTTGTATATCACCTTGCGTGCATGTGTGCTGCATGCCAGAAGAAGGTACCAGAAACTCATTATAGATGGTTGCACGTCACAATGTGTTTGCTGGGAATTGAACTCAGGCCCTCTGGAAGAACAGTCAATCCGTCCTCTTAACCACTGAGACATCTCTCCAGTCCCCTCAGTTTTCTTATACTAGTGTTCACGGTGCAAATTATTACCTTTTCTAAGTTCTCAAGACAAATCAAACACAGGTATTCTTTTCAGTTCCAAGCATAGTTCCCTACAAACTGTGGTCACACCTGGCAGGCAGATTGGCAGATAACAGAGTCTAGAGATAAATGGATCCTAAACTATTATTCATATCTTTCTAACTCCAAGACTCATGTATAGACAAGTTTCATCATATGAGATATATAGAAACTGAGTTATTTTACATTTGCATAAGCATTGAGAGTCATAAAAATTCATTTCTGACCTTTGCTTTTCTTCCTGCCTTATTTTTACAGAAGTTTCAAGCAGATCATTTAGCTATGACCTTTATAACTTACAGTGAATTTAGACATAATAACCTCTTCACAAGAGCTCATCAGGAATGTGAAACTATTGCTCTTAGCCTTATTAGCTGAATTACAACATATACTGAAATGTGTGATTTTATGTCTGTAGCACAGTGGGTAGCAGTAAGCTATAGTTTTATGCTTTTCTGATAGAAGGTACATCACAGGGGGTAGCTTTGTAGTTTCAGAAGTCCAAGCAAGGCCTAATGGCTCTCTTCTTCTGCTGCCTGTATATCCAGATATAGAACTCTCAACCTCTCAGCACCATTATTTGCCTGCCTGCTTCCATGCTCCTTGCCATGATGAAAGTGGACTAAACCTCTGAAACTGTAAGCCACCCCAATTAAATGTTTTTCTTTACAAGAATTGTTGCAGTCATGGTATCTCTTCACAGTGTCTTAGAACACTAAGACACTAGCTATGCTCAAGTCTGATATATCTATGGAATTTCTCATAATTTCCATAGTAAATAAATACTTACTCTTACTTTGTTACCATCCTCATAGCTCATCACATAGCTGGTGCTGAATATGGGAGCACAGATGAAGCAGAATAAAGATAGATTGTTTGGGTCTGAGTCCTGGCTTTTTATTTGAACTGTTTTATGGTATCAAGAAATGAAATTGCAGTTCAGTTCCCAGGGTTGCCACAATGATTAAACTGTACATAAAGTATAGAGTGGATATTATTTGTAGGACAGGTGACAAAATATAGCAAGCATATTGTTAAAAATATGAATAATTCCTAAAACATTAATGTTCATTGTGAGCTTCTGGAAGAACCTTTCCCTGCCACAGATTAGTGACATAGTTTAGGGCTAGAGTACCTTTCTAGCATACATAAGTAGATCAGTCCTCATTACCACCAAAAACAAAGCACAAAGCAAGCAGGATCCCTCCGTCAGAAAAGGTCTACTTTATTCTGGTATGTGAAGGGCTACTAATATATAAGATACAAAACAAATCCTTTGCTGCAGCACACAGGAAATGAAAGAAACAATTATGTATATACTGTATCAACATACTACTTGGATTAAACCATTATGAATATGTAAAGTATCTACATATTCCCATTGAAAGAAGAAGACTTAAAAATTACTTGCTGTTCCTTTCCTTATTGTAGCTGGCAGCCTCCCACCATTGTCTTCAATTACAGGAAAAGGTGAGGTTAAGGGGAAATCCTATCAAGATCACTGAGTTAAACATTATTCAAATTAAACATTTCCTCAGAATGAACGTTGAACCAAGGTTACTCTTCAACGCATTTGATGTTTGAAAGCCAAATATGAAGTTGAAAGAAAGCCTATTTACATTTGGATAATGCCCATCTGGC